TCAGGTATTTGCCTCTGATCAGATGGGATGGGGGGAGTGGGCATGGAGAGGCCAGTCCACTGCGCTTCTTTGCCTCTCTCTCCTCTCCTGGCCTCCTTGGTTTGTATTTCCTCAGCTCTGATGCTACAGGTGATGAGTCACCCACTTCACCCATGTCTGTGGCCTGCTAGAGAATAGAAAAACGAGAGGGGACAAGGGAACCGCAGAGTTGCCTCTCTTACCCCAGCTTCAGAAATGGGGCAGGAGGGCAGGGAATAGGATGGTTTGGGTGCTATTTTGAACCCCACCTCAAACTGTGCTCCACCACCAGGCCCAGGCCTCTGTCTCCCTACACAGCACCAAATATGGAATAAGTGGGGCCCAGTACAAGAGGAAAATGTGGGGCCCCTGTGCAAAAATTATTAAGAACTTCAAGATTGCTATAGCAGCCCTGGCCGGTTTGGCTCAGCGGTTAGAGCATCGACCTGCGGTCCGGAGAGACCCGGGTTCGGTTCCCGCGAAGGGCATGTACCTCGGTTGCAGTTTGTCCCCGGCCCTGGTTGGTCGTGCGGGTGGCAGCCACTCGATGTGTCCCTTTCACGTCGATGTTTCTCTCTCTCTCTCTCTTCCTCTCTCTCCCTCCCACTCTATCTGTGCAAAAATGGAAAAATGTCCTCAGGTGAGGATAAAAAAAATTAAAAAAAAAGATTGCTATAGCAGAGTATTAAACCAAACACAGGGCCCTTCTAAGCAGGAGGTCCCGTGTGACAGCTATGTGACAGCACAGGTGGACCATGCCCATAAAGCTGGTCTGTCCCCAAGCTTCAGACTCAAGAAGAATGGAATAGGGTGGGGCAGAGGGCTCTGACTAACTTTCCTAGAGGCCCTGAGGCCATAGTTGGGTAACGAAACTCTGCCTAAGGCACCAAGATGCCTAGTAGACAAGACCTCATGCCTCTAGGCTGCAGGGGTGAGAGTCAGGAGGCAGCAGGGTGGGAGGGGCTGGGCTCTCTGATTCACTAGGAAGGATTTCCAGCTTCAGCCACTTCAGAAGCTGAGTCCTGAATTAACCAATCAGCTGTTTCCCCTCTTCCCCTCTTCCCTACTTCCCCTCTCCTGCTAAGGCCTGGGAATCCCATTCTGGGGGTCTCCTGAACAAGGAGTGTGGAGGAAAGGTGATGTAGAATTTGAACCTTGAGAATTATTCAGATTGATGTAGGTTGACCGGGAAATCAGGACCATTTCCCCTCTCTTCCTCCCTTTTCCTGACTTGAAATCATTTTACTGCTCAGGATCATTAGAATTTCAATCATCCAGTCTCTGCTTGGTGGCCTCAACACCTCCGACCCTCCATTCTTGGCCCTTTTCGTGGCCCTTCTTCCTCCACCCCAGCAACCTGAGTTGCTGATGTTCTTCAAATTCCATTTTTAGCCTCTTCTCATCTTGGTCCATGCAGCCATCTTGAGCAGCGTCACCTACTTTTATAGTATCAGGGGCCACCTCTCATCAATACTGCAGGCTCAAGGGGAGGAAGAAGTGTAGGGAAACCATCTAGAGTCACCTGGTGGAGAGGGCTTTCTAGTTGGCGACACCACCATTCAGTCAGTCGTCCCAGAAAGAAACTGGAAGTCATCCTTGAAGTTCCCTGGCCATCCTCCAACATTCAGTCAATCTCTAAACCCTGGAGATTTTACTTCCTAATTATCTCTCCAATTCATCACCTTCTCTCCACTCTTAAACCACTTGCCTGATTTAGTTCCTAATGACATCTGGGTGCCTAGATCCCAGTGATTTCACTTTCTCTGGAAACTGCCCATCTCAGCGGCGGCACGGAAAATCATTAGGGAAGGAATTCCTCCCTCTTTGATTTCTGGGAAGCAGTTAAGGTTCTGGTCAGATGATCAGGTCTCAGAGTAAATTGACAAGGACTGACGACAAGGATATCTGGAGAGAGCCATGTGGCTGGTCCCCTTAGGGTGAGCTCAGAGACTGAAAATATTCAAGTGTCTTGAATGGGTTTACCAGAAGCCTCCCTGCACAAGAGGCTCTTTATAGCCCCAGTGGGCTGATGGGGCACATAGAACAAAGCAGCCAGAGAGGCAGGAATGGAACTCGTGCACGAGAGGACAAGCATGGGCTTCCTTCATCAAAACCAGCGCAACTTAACCAATGAGCCAGCAACGGTGACAACCCTGAGCCCCTCTTATAACACCAGACCTCAAGACAACCAGCAGATCCTCTGGTGGCAGGTCAATGGAGAGGACGGACTTGGCACTGAAATAGGCACTTATTTAGGAATTGTGTTCCTTGACTGTTATGTCCCTGCCAACACTTCCATCTATGGACGTACGGAATGTCTTCTAGAGGCCCATAACGTGGATCCTGGAACAGAAAAATGGCACTAGTGAAAAAGCTAGGGAAATGCAAATAAAGTCTGGAGCTTAGTGAACAGCATTGCACCAATGTTAATTTCTTAGTTTCAATAAAAGTATCATGGTTATGTAATATATTAACATTAGGGGAAGCTGGGTGGAAAGCATGTGGGAACTCTTACTAGATCTGCAACTGTCTGTAAATCTAGAAGTATTTCCAAATGAAACTACAGCATTTTTAAAAAGAAGTTAGGCAAGGGGCTAAGGTCAACAGGAGTTGCTGATCTTGCCATGTGTCCTTCATCTGGAAGCTGGTGGCTTCACAGAATAATGCACTGGCGTGGTGAAGCCCAAGTTTGATGCCAGCAAGGGGACACCACTTTGCAAAGGCAAAGTGCTGTCAGAGGCTGCTGGATGTGCCCTGAACGGAATCGGTAACAGCACACAGTGCTTTCCTTTCAGGGCTAAAAAAGCTTAAGGATGGACAGAGGGGTTATGAAGGGCTTAGATTCCATCAAGGACCGGCTCTCAGAATGATCATTCTCATCCTCTCAACTTGCTAATGTGAAGGTCTGAGCATGTAGGAAGGAATGCGGCCAGCAGGGCACAGAATAATTCTTTTGAAGTGGAAGGTGAGATTGCCCTCAGCCCTTTGAAGCTCCTTCTGGAACTAGGAAAACAGACAGAAAAAGGTGTCAGAATGTTGGGCCCATGTCTGACCTTGAGTCTCAGGGGTTCTATTATTACTACACCTGTGGGGGTGGCTAGGAAGTGTATGGGAGGAGCCAAGAGAACATCTGGGGTGCCACGCCCCCAGTAAAGATGCTACCCTACTCAGAGCCCCCCCAAGGGTTCAAACTCCTCAAGAATAAAGGTTGGATTCACCCTCTTGGACCAAATACCCCAACCAGTGAGAACAAGGACTGGTGGGTGGAAGGAGGAAGCCATAGCCACATGGGCCATAGCCCCATGACGGTAGCCCCCCGTCTGGTTTTCCTTTCTTACTGCTGGAGCCTAATGGGATATTCACCCTTCCCCATTTTATAAAATAAGAATTATTGAATTTAAATGTTTTCTTGTTCTCATTTTTTATCTTTTCCTTTTCTTGAGCACAATACATTGACAGTGGGTGAATGTATTCCAGGCTGCAGAATGGTGAGTTAGCAAAGGAATGGACGCTCCTCAGGAGATCCTGGATTCTGACCTCACCGGTAGGAGCAGGGCACACCCTTGGGCTGTCACCTGTCAGAAGCCAATTTCCTTCTAAAGGCAAACATTACCAACTCACTCCCAGCAGATAAGGTTGTTTAGTAGAACAACAAAACTCCTCTGGTCATCCCTAAACCCAACTATTTAGCAACAAATCCTAAGGATGTAGGCCTATCTCTTGACATTCCAACAACTCCAATCTGATGGGTGTTTGGATTCAAACCCTTCCACCCCCCTCATCTGTATGCTTCTGTTTATGCTGTACCTTCAGCCAGATTTGCCATCCATTTACTCATTTACAACTTAACTGTTCAGGACTCAGCTCAAGACATCACCTCTTTCTAGAGGCCTTTCCTGTCAGCCCTCCCAGGATGCAACACAGCCAGTCAGCTGGATTAGGCAGCCCTCCTACGGTTCCTGTCATACCCACACTGACCTCTTTGCCACTGCACTGGATGCGCTGTATTATGAGTGTATGTCTGTGGCTCCCTCAGATAGTAATCACTCCACTAACAAGGCCCAGAAATCAGTCTTGCTTTCATTGTACCCCCAGCCTTTAGCAGGATCCAGCCTTCCTTCTGCTAACCAAGGCCCAGCTTTCCATTACTTAAATACCTTCCTAAACTTTGCATGCCCTGAGGGTGAAGAAAAAATTCGTAAGGAAACACACACACACACACACACACACACACACACACACACACACAAATAAAAATAAAATAGAAAAGAAAGTTCTTACCTGAGCTCCAAGCAAAGTCCTTTAACCCTTGACCCGTCTCCCTCTCCAGCCTCATGTTTAACCACGTCCTGTTCTGCCCTTGTCATTGCCCTGAATGTCTGTCTGTCTACCTGCTCTGTGAGTCTCCGGCACCGTTGACTTTCCTTTCCCCATAGTAACGCTTACTAATTTAACTATAAGCCCTTTGTTCCATGTCTTCTCTGCTAAATTCCATGGAAATAGGAGCCATGTTAGTCTTGCTCATTCTTCTACCCCTGGTGCCAGGGCACAACAAGCCCTGAGACATTAAATGAATCACAAAATCGTGACTTTACAAACTTTTTGCTATGAGGCTATCTGGGGTGGTCTAAATGACTAGGAGGAAGACCACAGGAGTAGACATGAGATGGGAAAAATGGACCTCCCAATTCCAGTCCTCGACCCAAAGTTCTCTGTTAGAAATGCTGGTTCCTAGGAAGAACGGGGAGGGGGAAAATGAGAGAGGTTCTGAGGAGGAGTAAATGTCTCCTAAGGCCTGCCCACTGGGGTCTCAGGGTATTGTAGACTCTTCAGACCCCACCACTCACGGGCCAGCTGCTAAACTGGGGAAGAGCAGAGTGTTTCCAAGTGAGGTCAACAGGGATCCAGCAGGTGGAGGAGGTAATGGCAGAAAAGACTTGAAAATGGGCTTAGGAAATGGATACACAATGCATGCAGCCAGATATCTTTATTCTGTGACTAAGAGAAGGTGGAAATTCACTGGTTTTTAACCAGGACAGTTGGCTCTGGGTGAGGAGTGGGGCCGAGGAGGGACAGACAGTCAGGGGGAGGGGCTCTTGTGCCATCAGCTTATTATACAAGTGCCTTTGTCCTTGAAGGGATTCTTGTCCTCAGAGATGCCTTTGAGAAGAGGGTCGTTTCCTGCTTGGGCCTCCACATAATCCTTGATTTCCTTTCCTGTCTTGGAAATCTGCGAGAAAGCAAAGCAAGGTTCCAAGCCTGGTTTCCCGCTCAGGATCCATGACTTGGTCAGTCCCCCCAAAACAGGCTTCTGGACAGGGCGGGGACAGTGGCCAGAGAGAAGAAAGATGATGGGGACAGGCAAGAGTGAGAGGGGTGTCAGTTCCTTGTGCAGAACCACAGAGCCTCACTTACCTGCAAGGGATGCTGGCCCAGAGACGGGGCTGCAAGGCGGAGGTTCCCTCCAGTGCGCCTCCATGGGGTCAAGCCCCAGTCTCCTTCCACATCCTACCCCATCCCGGAGGCACCTCTTGCTTCTTCTGCCCTGGAGAGGCCCTCGCACCCCATTGTCCGTCGTTTCCTTCTCTAAGTCCCAGCTCCAAGGGGATGGAGAAGAGGGAGCAGGGAAGGGAAGAGGAGACTCACCGGAGTTCTTGGGTTCCTCACTTCCTTCTTCAGCTGCTCCACCTCCATCCTCAATAGTTCCTTCTCGCTGAGCTCCTGGGCCATCCTGCCCTGAAGAGACCTGGTCCTGGAAAGGCTTTTGCAGCTGGAATTGCAAATTCCCCAGGTTCCCCGAGCTCCCTCCTCTGTAGTCTCTGCATCTCATCTTCTACCATCTTCCCTGCCATGTCCCTCAGTCCAAGCCCCTCACTGCTCATATGCTCACTGTGTCCTCCCCACCCCACCTCCATCACGAGCCTAGGCTCAGGAGGAGAGTATGCTCCCAATCTGATGGGGGAGGCACAGACTCTGTTCTCAGAGAAGGACCTGTCTATGAGGAAACAGGATTTAGAGCATCAGGAAGGAAGAGGAAAAGAGTTTCTCCCAGTGAGGGAGATTTAGGAAGCAAAGGTATCGTTGCACACACTACACAGGTAGAAGTTTTTTTTGTTTTTGTTTGTTATCCTCCCCCGAGGACATTTTTCCATTTTTTGTTCAGATAGAGTGGGAGGGAGAGAGAGGAAGAGAGAGAGAGAGAGAGAAACATCGACTTGAAAGGGACACATTGAGTGGCTGCCACCCGCATGACCAACCAGGGCCGGGGACAAACTGCAACCGAGGTACGCGCCATTAGTGGGAACCAAACCTGGGTCTCTCTGGGCCGCAGGCTGACGCTCTAACAGCTGAGCCAAACTGGCCAGGGAAGAAGTTTTTTAAAAAATTAATTTGAGCCCTGGCCAGTTTGGCTCAGCAGTTAGAGCGTCGGCCTGCGGTCCGGAGAGACCCGGGTTCGGTTCCCGCTAAGGGCACGTACTTCATTTGCAGTTTGTCCCCAGCCCTGGTTGGTCGTGCGGGTGGCAGCCACTCGATGTGTCCCTTCACGTCGATGTTTCTCTCTCTCTCTCCCTTCCTCTCTCTCCCTCCCACTCTATCTGAACAAAAAATGGAAAAATATCCTCCGGTGAGGATAAAAAAAAAAAAATTAATTTGAGAGAGAGAGAGAGAGAGGTGAAACCCACAACTTAGGTAGGTGCCCTGACCCAGAATCCAACCTGCCACCTTTTGGTGTACAGAACAAGGCTCCAACCAACTGAGCCACACTGGCCAGGGCCAGGTGGAAGTTTTTTGTTGTTGTTGTTTGATTTTTAGAGAGAGTGGAAGGGAGGAAGAGGGAAAGAAACATCAATGTGAGAGAGACACACCATTCGGTCGTCTCCTGCACAATCCCAGGGTCGGGGATCTAAATGGCAACCCAGGTACCTGCCCTCGAATCCTAGACCCTTTGCTCCACTGGCCGATGCTCTAACCGCTGAGCCAAACCAGCCAGGGCCAGGTAGAAGTTTTAAGGAAACTCCAGGTCCTGTCAGGGGAGAGGGAACCCTAGTGGTTAAGAGAAGGGCTCTGGAGCCTGTCAGACTCCAGCTCTGACCCCCGCTCTGCTGCTTCCAAGCTGTGTAGCCTTAGGCAAGTCACTCAACCTCCTGAGTCTTAGTTTCCCCATCTGCAAAATGGTTATAATAATAGTATCTACCTTATACGTGTATTGTGAGTACCAAGAAAAGAATGCATATAAAATATTTTAATGCATTGCCTGGCACATAATAAACACAATGCATTTATTATTATTACTATTATCATCACCATCAACATCATCATCGCACAGTTATCAAGAAGGCCTGTCAATAATTCTAAGACTAGATCCCAACCCAGTACAACCTCAGCCCCTCTCACCTGCCAAGGAAGAGCGTGCACTTCAAGTCACTTGTGCCGACCCAGACAGGATGGTGTATGAGCCACCCCGCTTCTCATCAGCTGAAAGTCTTTAGATAAAGCAGATGGTCTGGAAGCTCAAATCTCTGATGCCAAAGCTGATCATAGGCTCAAGGTTCTAAGCCTATCCACCGGCCTGAGCCTCCAAGCTCTCACTGCCCCCAGAGCAGACACCCTGCCCCCTGCATGAGTCCACTCCTTTAGCGACCTTCTGCCTTATTTCCCCATTTCTCACCTCCAGCCATACACGCTCCCCTGCCTTCTCTCCCAAGCCTTCCCCTCCCCCATCTCTGAGACTGTGCTAAGGCGATTCTTCTCCATGAGGCAAGTCCTAGACCAGCTCCTAACTTCCCGCACCCAAGAGGCCTTTGTGACCCTGATTGGAGCCCCGCATTTCACTGTATACGGTTCTCCCAGCTCACTCTTCATTCACTCATTCAATGAAAGTGTACTCACGTAGGACGCTGTCAGTTAGCATTGGGGCCATGGCCACCTCTAACCCCATGTCCATGCCTCCTTGCCTCCCTCTGAGCCCTGGGTGTGGGTCTCCCTCAGCAGCCCCCCAGCACAGTCACATATCCTGATCCTTCTCTTGGTCTCCTCCCAAGATGACAGACACTGAGCTCCTGCTCAGGCTGACACCTGTGCAATGACAAGGGGCTCTCTTGAGGAGCAGATGTTAAGGGACCTATATGGTCAGTGAGTGTTCCTCTTTTTCTCCTGCCTCTAGGGGACAGACTGGGTGCTGAGAGGGGCAGGAGGAGGCCCAGGGTTCATCCTAATTTCCCCTGCTCCAGGATCTCCAAGAAGCTGAGATCAGGACAGGACCCTGGAGGTCACCTAGTCCGACTCCCAGTTAATGCAGCTAATAGGGCACTTACCTTCCTAAACCCGACCAGTTCATCTGGAACTTGAACCTGGTGCTTCTCAGAGCCAAGTCCTTCCTGTTGTCTAATCCGAGTCCCTCACACTTGGCCCACTTCACCTCATCCTGCCTCCATGGAGCGCAGAGCATGTACACAGACCTGCATGGCCCGTAGCCCTCAGAGGCTTTCTAACACTTCTGGGGCCTCTGGCCTCTCTTCCCGGGGTTCAGTGCGCTCCTCTTGCTGTTGCATTGTCTGTTTTCCGTTGTTGCTGCTCTGCCACCCTACAGGCCCCCAGCGTGACTGGCCTCCATATCCTCTCCACCCTCCACTCTCCTGTCCCTTGGTGACTCATCCCTGGGCTTCCCAAGGAAGCCCCCACCCTCTGCCTTTTCCTCCTCTTCCATGAGTGGAAAATCCGTCTCCACGCCCCCCCCCCCCAGCAGACCAACCCCCTTCCTCCACAATCTACCCCCTCCGGACAGTTTCCTCTCCAGGCCCAGGGAGCAATCACAGACGCCCCGACCTTAGCTTCCTCTGCTGGGAGGGGTTGGGGGACTGGCCCCACAGGGGCCACTGGCTTTCCCCTTCCTCTGGGCAGGGGACAGACAGGCGCAGGCTCAGGGAGTAGGGACTGACTTCCTCTTGTCCCGGAATGAGCATGCCTGCCCTTTGCGAGCAGGTTTGGGTCTCTCACGAAGAGGAAACCAAAAGCGGTGAGAGAGAGGGAAGGCAGAGCGACCAATCAAGGGCAGGGTGAGGCACGAAACCAGCAGCTCCCTGGGGAGCCCGGCAGAGGCTGGGGGCGATGGCGGAGCTGCAGCAGCTGCAGGAGTTTGAGATCCCCACGGGCCGCGAGGCTCTGCGGGGCAACCACAGTGCCCTGCTACGCGTCGCAGATTACTGCGAAGACAACTACGAGAAGGTAGGCAGAGCGGGCACAGGCCCCGGCACCCCTGCCCCTGGAGGGGCCCACCCTGGCAAGGCCATCCCCAGGGCAAGGCCATGAGGGCATCCTGACAGTTGCTTGTCCTGGGCTCTGGGCCTCAGCTTCAGCTCAGTCCCCCAAACTTTAACGGTGACTGCATGCTCCCCAAGCCCCCACTGTGCCCCTTTTCTCTCCTGAGCATGTCCAGGCAGTGCTTTCCATCTGTTAGCAGGCCTCAGCCTAGGTTCATCTCCTTGCCAGACTCTCACTCAGATCCACAGGCCCAAAGACTGGTCCTCACACAAATGTCAGTGTCATCATTTCATTTTCAGGCTGGCTCTAGGTGAGACCTCATAGGGACTTCCCAAACATGGTAGAGAACTCGAGGTGGACCAGGGAGAGAGGGAGAGCAGAGAGATGTCAGACCGGCTGGGCTAAAGAGAGAGTCTGGCACAGAGGCCAAGGAATGGACAACATGATTGCAGGACCAGCTACCAGCAACGACAAGGATATAGCTGCATCTCCGCGGTTTTCTCTGTACCGCAGGCCGACGCTCCAACCGCTGAGCCAAACCGGCCAGGGCATCTGCGCGGTTTTCTAAAGTGTGTGCTTGCCCCAGGACCGGGCATGTGGACTCCTGGATCAAGGGAAGAGGAAGGAGGAAAACTTAACAACCACTGAGCATCTCTGTTACTTTGTTAATCCTGATGGCCCTCTTGTGAGACAGTGCTATTATTCCTATTTCGTAGAGGAGGAAACAGCAGTGCAGGGAGGCAAGGTGACTTGCTTAAGGTCACACAGCTTGGAAACAGTGGCGCCGGGCATCAGCCCAGCTCTGAAGCTGAGCTCTGCACCTTCCCGCCTCCCTGACATGGTGTGTGACTTTAAGATCATTTATTTGCCCTGGCCGGTTTGGCTCAGCGGTTAGAGCATCAGCCTGCGGTCCAGAGAGACCCAGGTTCGGTTCCCGCTAAGGGCGCGTACCTCGGTTGCAGTTTGTCCCTGGCCCTGGTTGGGTTGTGCGGGAGGCAGCCACTCGATGTGTCCCTTTCACGTCAATGTTTCTCTCTCTCCCTTCCACTCTATCTGAACAAAAAATGGAAAAATGTCCTCGGGCGAGGATAAAAAAAAAAAAAAGATAATTTATTTGCACTCTCTGTCCTCAGTTTTCTGTGCTCCCTTAAGAGCTACTGACTAATCCTGCCATCCCATGGATAAAACTTTATTTTTATTTAAAAATATTTTTCCTTACTGATTTTAGAGAGTGAGGAAGGGAGAGGGAGAGAGAGATAGAAATACCAGTAAGAGAGAACATCGATTGGCTGCCTCCTGCATGCCCCCCACTAGGGATCGGGCCCACAACCTGGGCATGTGCCTTGACCGGGAATCGAACTGGCGACCTCTTGGTGCATGGGTCAACACTCAACCAGTGAGCCACACCAGCCAGGCAAAAACTTCATTTTTCTAACACATTGTAACCAAACTGTGAGATGAGGCACAGGGACCTCCCAGATTAATAATTAATAATAAAAGGAGCAAGTGCTTATGGGAAAATGGTAGATTAAAGAGAATCAATGCTAATAACAGTCAAAGTGCTCTGCCCCCTTACTTTGGGCAGGTGGGTTGCCTCCTTTACCACTCAACCCAGTCCTGTGAGTGAAAACCACTCCCACTTCACAACCAGGAGGCTGAGGTTCAGAAAGGTTGACTCACTTCCCCAAGGTTTTCAAGCTAGTGGCAGAACCTGGATTCAAACCCATAACTTTGACTCCAGGGTCCACCACCAGACCTCTAGTTGAAAACTACCCAGGGCGTAATTTCATGCGTGTGGAGGGTGGATGGCTGCAGGCAGCTCCGGTCTCCCTGCGCTGGCAGGCACAGCCCCCTGACGACAGGCGTGAGGCGATCCTTCCCACTCCTTCCATGACCGCACGTCTCAAAGCACGTGCAGGCGGGTTCTTATCTGCGCACACTGTGCACACGGGAATTGAGGGCACAAAGGCCTGGGTCCAATTTCCAACTCTGCCAACTACCAACTGTAAGACCTGTGGCAAGTTTCCCCTTGATTCTTCACATGGGTTAAATGTATTGGAGCACGTAGCCCAGTGCCTGCTCCTTAAGAAGGCCAGGATAAATGGCAGCTCGTACCACCATATTCTTCATCATCATCATCATCATCATCAATCATAAGGATGAGAGACACATGTAGAAAATCAATTCTATTGAGGTGGAGCAGCCCGTACAAAACACCCAGGGCATAGGAAGCTCTGACCCAAGTCAGAATCCCTGGACTCCTGCTTTCTTCAGGCAGAACACTATGAGACCACCGACCTTTTCTGGCCTCTCTGAGGGTTTTCATCTGAAGAGCAAATGCCTGGGAAGGGTTTGGATGACTTCTTAGAACTGCTCTTTAACAAGGCCTGGTTCCCAGGCCCTCCGTTCTCCCCCCGCCCCCTCCTTCCACCCCAAGCAGGTGTCAGGAAACCCATGGGGAATGGGGTCAACTGCAGAGTTCTCTGTTAGGGTCCAGGGAGTTTACAGACAGGGTAATTTGCATGATAAATAAGCAGTCAGTTGTGAAGATAGATCCCAAACCCTCGACCTCCAGACCTAACTTTGGTCTAAGACCCAGGGATTGGTAGGCATCCAGGCTCTAGCCTTCCAGAGCTGAGCCCAAGCAGACATTTTTCCTATTTAGACTGACAGAAAAATCCAGTGGTAAATTCCACATGCCAGTCTAGGGAGGAAACAGTAGAGGAGAGCTGAGCTAAGAAATCTGGGTGGAAATCAAAGGAGTAGTCACTGGTCCATTTGGGCCTTCATTTCCTCACCTATTAAAACAGGGTCTTGGCCCTGGCCTGTTTGGCTCAGCGGTTAGAGCGTCGGCCTGCGGTCCTGAGAGACCCGGGTTCGGTTCCCGCTAAGGGCACGTACCTCGGTTGCAGTTTGTCCCCGGCCCTGGTTGGGTTGTGCGGGTGGCAGCCACTCGATGTGTTCCTTTCACATCGATGTTTCTCTCTCTCTCTGTTCCTCTCTCTCCCTCCCATTCTACCTGAACAAAAAATGGAAAAATGTCCTCGGGTGAGGATAAAAAAAAAAAAAAAAACAGGGTCTTGGGCCCTGGCCGGTTTGGCTCAGCGGTTAGAGCGTCGGCCTGCGGTCCTGAGAGACCCGGGTTCGGTTTCCGCTAAGGGCATGTACCTCGGTTGCAGTTTGTCCCCGGCCCTGGTCGGTTGTGCGGGTGGCAGCCACTCGATGTGTCCCTTTCGCATCGATGTTTCTCTCTCTCTCTCTGTTCCTCTCTCTCCCCCCCACTCTACCTGAACAAAAAAATGGAAAAATGTCCTCGGGTGAGGATGAAAAACAAAAACAAAAACAGGGTCTTGGCCCTGGCCGGTTTGGCTCAGTGGTTAGAGCGTCAGCCTGCGGTCCACAGAGACCCGGGTTCGGTTCCCGCTAAGGGCATGTACCTTGGCTGCAGTTTGTCCCCGGCCCTGGTTGGGTCGTGTGGGTGGCGGCTACTCGATGTGTCCCTTTCACATCGATGTTTCTCTCTCTTCCTCTCTCTCCTTCCCGCTCTATCTGAGTAAAAAATGGAAAAATATCCTCAGGTGAGGATAAAAAAATAAAAATAAAAATAAAATAAATAAATAAATAAAACAGGGTCTTGGCCCTGGCCAGTTTGGCTCAGCGGTTAGAGCGTCAGCCTGCGGACCAGAGTCGCGAGTTCGATTCCGGTCAAGAGCATGTACCTCAGTTGCGGTTCGTCCCCGGCTCTGGTCAGGGTCCTGTGGGAGGCAGCCAGTCGACGTGTCCCTCTCATGTCGATGTTTCTCACTCTCTCTCCTCTCTCTCTCTCTCCCTCCCTCCCACTCTATCTGAAGATAAAATGGAAAAATATCCTCGGGTGAGGATTAAAAAAAAAAAGGTCTTGAACTAGAACAAGAGCTGCGATCCTTTCTGGTTTATATATATATAAACGAATATTATATATATATAATATGTTTATATATATAATATGAATATATATATGTTTTTATTGATTTTTTTAGAGAGAAAGGAAGGGAGAGAGAGATAGAAACATCAAAGTGAGAGAGAAGCATCAATTGAGCCCGAAACCCAGGCATGTGGCCTGACCGGGAATCAAACCAGGACCTCTCAGTCCATAGGAGGACGCTCAATCTACTGAGCCACTGAGCCACACTGGCCAAGCTATATTTTTTAAATCCTCACTTGAGGATTTTTTTTTTTTCCGAGGATATTTTTCCATTGATTTTCAGATAGAGTGGGAGGGAGGAAGGGAGGGAGAGAGAGAACATGGATGTGAAAGAAACACATTGATTGGTTGCCTCCTGCACGATGCCCTTGACCGGCATCGAACCCATTACTCTTTGGTCCACAGGCTGATGCTCTAACTGCTGAGCCAAACCGACCAGGGCTCCTATCTGGTTTTAACATCCTGGGTTGGCCTGGCCAGTGTGGCTTAGTTGCTAGGAGCGTCATCTCGTACACTGAAAGGTTTCAGATTCGATCCCTGGTCAGGGCATATACCAGGTTGCAGGTTTCTCTCTCTCTCCCTCCCTCTTCTTTCCTCTCTCTTAAAAAATAAATCAGCAAAAACATATCCTTGGGTGAGAATTAAAAAAAAAAATCCTGGGTTGATAGCTTTGCTTTGCCAAGGCACTTGGTTACATATGCTGATGAAGATGTAAAATGTAAAGTCCCTGCTAATGAGCATTTCCTCACTGGTGCTGGGACCGAAAGGCAGGAGGTCCCCTGACAGGAGGGGCAGCTCAGAAGGTTCTGGGTCTGCCCTATGGCTCCAGCTTAATTCAAGCTACATTGGAGGCGCCCAGATCTCCCTGAGCACCCTGCTCTGATAGGTTCCAGGTCTGTTCACTGACGGGCTTGAGGAGCACCTGCATGCCGAGACCCCATGCTGCAGCTTTGTCTGCCCTGGCCTCACCTCCCCATCCCCACAAAAGCACAGGCTAGAACGCAGCAACTCCATGACCCCACCAGAGATGAGGAAGCTGTCTGGGGAACCAAATGATCAGAGACGTTTTGCCCCAGCCCCCACAGTCTGATTGGGGCTGAAAAAAATCCCTCTTCTGTCTCAAGCTATTCTCTGCCCACCCCTTCCCCACTGACTGGCAGTGTGACCCTGCCCATTCCCTGGCACAGCGCCCGCATGCAGTGGGGAGATGCCCAGTATTTGGGTTTACATTAAATCCATTAGTTAACTCACAAGTGCATGTTTATTATCGGCTGTGTGGGGACACTATCCCAGCACGGGACAGAAGTGGGCTGGGGAAGACCACAAGGTGGTGAGGGAAGGTGTCTCCGAGGATTGCAACAAGTGCAAAGGCCTCGAGGTAGAAACAATCTTAGCTTGACCAGGAACAGAAATCCAATGGCCACGGTGGCTGGAGGGGAATGAGAGGGAGTGGTAGGGGATGGGGGTAAAGAGAAAACAGGACCCAGCCTTGTGGGGTCCTATATAGGCCTGGTTAGTAGTTTGGATTTCATTCCTGGTGTACTGGGAAGCTACTGCAGGGAGTGAATGAATGAGGTCACAATCTTCTGACTTCAATTTCCTTATCTAGAAAACAGATTAATTCATTGTTCCCCAAACACCCACCTGCAGACTGGAGCTAAACAAAGAGCACAAGAGTCCCCTGGGGAGCTTTTAAAGGCACAGACTCCTCAGCCTCGCTCCCATGGGATTCTGGCTAGAAGGTCTGGGATGAGGGCCTGACATTACTTGGTTGGTTTTGAGTTTGAGAGCTCCTCCGACTAGCATTACCTTTCCCTCTCCTTTCTACTATTTACCCTCTACACCTCCCTCCTCCCCAAAGGTCCTCAAGAAGGTGGTAGTGTTAATCTTTAGCTTGACTATTTGTACAGGGGTCTCTTTCCCTTCCCTTACCCCCATTCCCCACGGCTACAGATTTGCTTTTCTGATGTCCCAAGTCCCTCTTCCTGTAACATCATTCTTTTTTTTATTATTTTTTATTTATTTATTTTTTATCCTCACCCGAGGATATTTTTCCATTTTTTGTACAGATAGAGTGGGAGGGAGAGAGAGAGAGAAACATCGATGTGAAGGGACACACTGAGTGGCTGCCACCCGCACGACCAACCAGGGCTGGGGACAAACTGCAACCGAAGTACGTGCCCTTAGCGGGAACCGAACCCGGGTCTCTCCGGACCGCAGGCCGACGCTCTAACCGCTGAGCCAAACTGGCCAGGGCTGTAACATCATTCTTATGGAAAACATTTCAAACATCTAAGGGTTGTTGCTTTTCCCAGTTCAACCCCCCACCTTCCCTATACCCTCTCCCATCGCACCTGTCCAGCAAAGGATCAGTGGAAGGTGCGGGCCTCCAACCAGGACTGTGTATGTTTCAGGCCACAGACAAGCGGAAGGCGCTGGAGGAGACCATGGCCTTTACCACCCAGGCCCTGGCCAGCGTGGCCTACCAGGTGGGCAACCTGGCCGGGAACACTTTGCGCATGTTGGACCTGCAGGCAGTCGCTCTGCGACAGGTGGAAGCCCGTGTGAGCACACTGGGCCAGGTAAGGAATATAGGGAAGCTTCTTGCATCAGCCCCCAACTCTTCAGCCCCACTTGGGCATTTTCTCCAATAAAACTTCTTTCCTGGCTCTGGCCAGTCTGGCTCAGCGGTTAGAGCTTCAGCCCGCAGACCAAAGAGTTGTGGGTTCGGTTCTGGCCAAGGGCACATACCTCGGTTGTGGTTCGGTCCCAGCCCTGGTGAGGGTCAGGGTCGTGCAGGAGGCGACCAGTTGATGTGTCTCTCTCACATCGATGTTTCTGTTTCTCTCTCTCTCTTCCTCCCTCCCTCTCCTCTACTTTATCTAAGAAAAAACAAAACAAAAAACGTCTTTCCTGCCTTTTTCCAAGTCCAAATGCCTGACTCTGCCACAGAAGCTTGGCAATTCCCAAGCGATATGAACCTTTCTCTGTGCCTTGCTGCCCCGCCAGACTAGGTACTTCCTGAAGGCAGAGCTTTCTCTGAATTCTATCCTGTGTGGTAGAAAGCAGACTCTACCAATCACGGTGGCTGCATAGGAGACCCCGTTCCCATCTAAACACAGGCAGTGACTTAATACATGTCCTAGATCCAGAGTGCTTACTTGGCAAGATCATCTTCAGCCCTGGAAGGACAGTCACCACCATGCAGTGTCCCCCACCCAGCTATCATACACACCCTCCTCCTTCCTTCCTGGATCCTTGGCTGAGGAATTAATTGCTCCATGAACCACGTGCACTGATCCAATTACACATCAGCCTGGCCTGTGCAGCAGCCCCATGCTGAGTGTGGGTGTGTCTTCCTCTCATCCCAGCAGACAGGAGCTCCTACCCTGTGTTGTAGATTTCTCCACAGCACACCCAAGAGGACGTTAATTCACTTATTTGTCCCTCAGAAGGGAGAGCTGACCCTGCCACAATTCTTAGCCACCTCCACGTTTCCCATCTCTGCTCCCAAGCTCCCAGTCCAGTATTTCAGTCTCTCCCGACACCCTCAGGGATGCTGCGTTCTCCCTTTTCCTCTGGTTTCTGCTCAGCTAATAATAAGCCCCATTCTCTTCCACTAGGAAGTTGCTCCAAAGTGGCTCCATCCTCCCCTGGCAACACTCTTCCCACATGCTGTGTGGCCTTGGGAACAAAACCCACTCTTTCTCCCGACCTCACTGCCTCCCATGGTCCCTACCCCCACCCCAAAGTCTCACGCTGCATAGAGCGCCCCCCCCACTGTCACCTCAAATTCTGTCACACAGATGGTGAACATGCACATGGAGAAGGTGGCCCGAAGGGAGATAGGCACTTTGGCCACTGTCCAGCGGCTGCCCCCCAGCCAGAAAGTCATCGCCCCTGAGAGCCTACCTCCTCTCACGCCCTACTTCAGGAGACCCCTCAACTTCGGTTGCCTGGATGACATTGGCCATGGGATCAAGGTAGAGATTCGGGCCCCTCCTCTTCTTCATGGCTCCCTTCTCTCAGGTACCCCGGTTCTCTTCCACATCCATGTACTTGCCCCAACCTGCAGCCCTTCTCTCCTCACTCCCTGAAGCCATCCCCTTAAGGAAGAGGCCCTCCGTAAAAACCCTTCATGATGCCCCTCCTCCAGAAGCGACCTTTGCCCTGAACTCAGATGATCTGCTGAGACTGACATTTGAGCCGCGGTGCGTGTGTGCGCGTGTGCGCAGGGCAGGAGGAAGGGCGGTCCTCAGGGCATGCATGAGAACAGCTCCCCAGCCACATGAGAACAGCGACTTCCTGTCTGGAGGTTTGAGGTCACCGCACTGAGAAGTCACCCCAGAGCTACTGTGGGGTGAGAAGAGGCAGGGATGCAGACACTCAAAGAGGACATGCTGAGGATGGGAGCAGGACGATGGCCTTTTCTTCCCAGCCCATCTCCTAAGACCTGGAGAGGACACACACCCCTATCCCATTTTGTCAATTCTGCACCCACACTCCAACATTCTAGGTTAGGCTACAGCTCCTCTCTATCTGAATGACCCCCTCCCCCCATACACCCTTTCCTCAGAAAGGGGAAACTACATTGCCTCCTTCGGTTGCCAGGCCTCCCCACCAGTAAGTTCTTTCTATTGTTCAACTTCAATGCTTTATGGTTCAGCTCAAATCCCTTTGCTTCGTCCCTAATGAAGTAGAGCAGAGGATGTCATTCCCTGGAAACCTTATAACAGACCTGCTTTCTTGCTCGTGGGTCTGCACCCTGTCATTAGTACTCTGCTCTGAATGGCCTGCCCCAGGGGGACATTTCTACATGTGATGATCCTCTCCTTTCCCCACCTTCCCCAGCCCCACGCTGAGGTTGGGGTCTCAGTTGGGGGCCACCACGCTGGGCGCTGAGGTGCTTTGGGGAGAGGGGTGAGCTGATGGGCCCACTCCGCGGCTGAGGCGGTGCAGAGGAAGTGGCCTTCAGACTGTCTGCGCTGAGGTTTCCGTGTGGCCTGCAGCAGACTTGGCGCCCCGGCAATGAGCAAGGGCGGGTGGGGGAAGGTGGGAGAGGGGGCTGGGAAGTGGAAGTGGGAACTTGCTGCGTCTGCCCCTCCCCCATTTCCTCTGTGGGATCACGGGGCAACCGGGGGTGGCTGCCTATCGATCTCAGCCCGCCTGCTCTCTCCCAGGATCTGAGCACGCAGCTGTCGAGGACCGGCACCCTGTCTCGAAAGAGCGTCAAGGCGCCTGCCACACCCGCCTCTGCGACTCTGGGGTGAGGCCTCGCCCGAGCCGAACCAGCGTCACAAGATCCTGAAACTCTATTCCCCCACCCTCGCCTCCACGCCCTGCACCAAGCTTCCTCCTCTGCCATCTGCCCCCTCCTCCCCGCACCTGACCCCTGCTTACTGGAAGACTTCCTGTCCCGTGACGACATCCCCCCACCCCCAGGAGGCCGCCCCGGATCCCAGAGCCAGTGCAGCCCCCGGTGGTACCCGACGGCAAACTCTCCGCAGCCTCATCTGCCTCTTCCCTGGCCTCGGCCGGGTGAGCCCAAGTCCAAGCTGGGAGGGAGCTGAGGGGCCTCCTGACGATTTGTCCTGTTTACTACTGGGGCTGAGGCCTGGGGATCACAGGGTCGAGGCTTATGACTGAGGGGCAGGGGCCAGTTGGGGATGCCGAGTTGGAGCCCCTCACTAAAACGACCCTCTCTGCCTTCTCTGATCTCCAGCAGTGCGGAAGGTGTTGGGGCCTCTAAGACCAAGGGGCAGGCAGTAGCCCCACCCCCTCCTCTTCCCAGCTCCGTGGCCCCACCTCCTCTACCAGCCTCCGATATCTGCCTGCTGCCCCCACCTGGTAAGCTCTGTGATCTTAGCTCAACTGTGGGGTCTCGCTCTCACTTCCCTACACCCCTCCCCACCCCTCTTGGATCTGATGGTCACCTCAGTGAACAATTTGTCTAAGGTAGGGGTAACAGGAGAGAAAGGAGGCAGAGGAAGGTAACTAATAACTCAGTGACTGCTTTATACCAAGCCTTGAATTAGAGGGTCCTCATCCATTTTTTCACTTAAATTTAACCCTGAGGATCTTCACACTCCCATTTAAAAGATGAAGCTGAGGATGAGGTTAGGTGACTTGCCCGTCACCCAGTTAAGTGCAGTCTGACCACCCTACACTGTCCATAGGTTCAGGTTTACTGAGCACGTCCTCCTTGCTGGAAGCATTGTGGGAGGAGCAGGATGGCCAAGGGCTGGAGGAAGATTACATAAAGCGCTAGATCCTGATGCACTGCTCTTGAACAGCAGTTTCCTGGAGCTAGGGGAGGGGGCTCCCTCTGCCACTCGCAGCCTTTCTGCTTTTCCTCCCAGCCCCAGAGCTGCCCCCTCCTCCGATCCTGGATGTAGAGGACTTGGAACTGCCACCGCCACCTCCACCAGACTTTGGGCCAGAAGAGCTTAGCTGGGTCCCTGCTTCATACTTGGAGAAAGGTACCTGGCTACTGGGACTGAAGGACACCAGATCCCACCACCAGGGTTCCCCTCCTCCTACCCTAAAGGCATTCTGGGCCTCCTGCCCTCCTAACCACCCATTTTCTGATGAGCCAAGCAAATGTTTGTCCAGTTGGCCAGAACGAAGCTGGGAAGAGAGCAGGAGGATTGGTATTAACTGAGCTGGGGAAGGGTCCACAGGGCTGGGGAGAAGGCACCTTCTGCCCCAATGCTTACAGCCCCCTCCACTAGATGCTCCCTAGAATCATGTGGGCCCCTGCATCTCCATGGCGGGCAGGAGGCACTTCTCACAGCACCCTCTCCTCCTGCCCTGCAGTGGTGACAGTGTACCCATACACTGGCCAGAAGGACAACGAGCTCTCCTTCTCTGAGGGCACTGTCATCTGCATCACCCGCCGCTTCTCCGATGGCTGGTGTGAGGGTGTCAGCTCGGAGGGGACTGGATTCTTCCCGGGTAATTATGTGGAGCCCAGCTGCTGACAGCCTGGGGCTCTGGGCTGCTGACTAGAGGCTCTTCTCTGAGGGAAACTGGAGCCCCAGGCCAAAGCCAACTCCAAGGTCAAGCAAGGCTGAACTAGGCCTGCCCACCTCTGTGAGCTGTGTCTGCACCTTCCCCCACTGTGGTGGGAAGGGGTCCTGAGGAGAGAGAGGAGGTGCCCAGAGGCCTGTCACAGCCAGGAAAGAACTGGAAGCCGAGGAGTTTGGTGATCTTGTATACAGAGGACCCCTATTCCACAGAGGGCGGGGTCTCCAGCTGCAAGTGCCAACTTCCAATAAAAACTCTGATGAACTCCTGATGACTGCCCTGCAGGGCTGGGGGCCCAGAGAGAGAAGGGACTGAAAGGCATTTCACCTCTAAGTCTCCTGCTAATCATTGAGCCGCTCTGTCTGCTCTTAGCAGCAGTATATCTCCCTTCTCCTCGATCTTCATTACTGCCCTTTGTACTGGACCCAGTTGCCCTCTGCAGATGGGCCACGCACCGTGTTCTTTTGTCTGTTGTCTGTGTTCATCCTTGGTTCCTTAAGCTGGGCACTGGCCAAGAGTGGAGACCAGTCCCCTCACTTAAGTGGGGCTCCCTGAGAGCAAAGGCCACCCTCACCCCTCAGATTGCGGCGCCAGAGATCTCAGTCACCTCTTCCCCATCACCTGCTTTATAGCTCTAAAACACCAAAGAGGAGGGGCTTGGGTTTCGCTGGCTCTGCCTTCAAACATCATGGCTTTCTGTTCCATACGGGAGTTGGGCGTGGAGAGGGCCCAGCCCGCGGGGATGACTTTGGTTAAGTTCCTGGTCTTGCTGCATAGACGATGTTGGGGTTCGAGGAGACATCATGGCACCGCTGCGAGATCCCTGGCCGGCCCGACCCGAGCCAGACCGTGTGCTACCTCGTTCTACCACTAGTAGGCGACGTTCCCTCCAGCTTTTTTTCCTCTGGGGTTGCTGGCCGGCTGGGCGGCGTAAGGGAGGCAAGAAAAGGGATGTAGTGTGGGGTCGCGGTAGGTGAAGCAAGATCTAGGCCTGGGGCTGTCGGCGGAGAGTTTCATCTCCGTCCGTGCGCAGTTCGATGCGAAAAGATTTTTCCTGGACCTAAGACTGGGAGAGAGGAGGTTAGGTGCCCAGGTAGCGGTTCAAGTTCTCTCGCCTGCAGGGGAACCTCTTCCTCCCAGTTCGGAAGATGAGGTTTTTGGAAACGCTGCTGCCGTCTTAGATATGAGTACCACCCGGGATGGGCCAGACTCCAGAATTTAACTGTTTGCGGTGGATCTGAGGGAGGCAGCCGAGCTGGTTTAACTGCATAGAAGGGATGGTTGCAAACTCCCTCCTTCAGTCCCGGAATGGACGGGCCTGGCATTCTAGAAATTCCTGGAGGTACATAATAAAGCGAAAGGGGAAAAGGGGTGATAAAACTAGATTGTCTTTCCCGATCTCCCCTCCCCCTTCTCCTCTGGGCGCCCCATCCAGGCAGCAGTCTCAGCATGCCTTCAGCACCTGCTGCAGATGGAGGCGCACGTCGCCGGCGGTCTCCCAGGGCACCACGCTGGCGCGGAATGAGCTGGGCTCGGCCTTTTGCGCCTCCTGGATAAGGCGGTGCATGGGATAGCCGCGCCGTGGGAAGGCCACGTCGCCGCTAGCCAGCACCCCCATGGGGCAGAAGTCATTGGCACCATCGCCCACGTAGAAAAGGCGCTCAAATTGCACGCCGTCTTGGGCTCTCTCGCGCAGGTAGTCGCTGAGCACCTTGTGCTTGCACATGTTGGCAGGGCAGCGCGCGCAGCTGTGCGAGTGGAAGGGCCGCAGCGTCAGCAGCCCCCGTGCGTCAGGCACCGACGGGTTGCTGAGGATGCGGCGGAACAGGCCGAGGTGGCCGGCGGCGCGCAGCGCGCTCTCCACGCCGAAGGTGTTGGCATCCGAGATGAGAATCACTTCAAAGCAGGTGCCCTGCTTGGCTACAAACTGCAGCAGGTCACCCATGCCCGGTGACAGGGGGATGGCCTCGTAGACCGCGCGCAGGTCCCGCGGCCGCACGCCCTGCTCGCCCAGGTACTTGAAGACCCGCTGCATGTACTCGTTGTAGAAGCCCTCGCGGTAGGTGGCACGCAGGCTCTCCGGCAGCCGCTGGCCCGGCGCGGCGCGCACGATGGAGTCGTCGCTGTTCTCGTCCACGATAGTCTCGTCGAAGTCGAAGGTCAGGAGGAAGCGCGGCGCGCCCTGCACCGCCATCCTGCCGTCCTGGGAGCAGCGGAGAGAAGAGCAGCAGGAGGAGGAGGGAGGAGCAAGCGAGAGCGGGCCGGGCAGGCGCCGACCCGGGAGAGGCTGGTTAGCAGGCCTGGGCCAGAGGCGCTGGCACATCCAAGACCTGAGGAGGACCCAAGGCTGGTTAAGCTGAGGGAGCACCCAACGCTGCGACCCCCACCCCCAGCTCCCTGCCCACCCCCTTGGTATCTCTAAGTTAACTGCGCTGGGATTTATCCTCACAGGACCATCCTCTTCTTGAGCCCAGAAGGGCTCCCTTGGCACCTGTTTCTGCTGCTCCCAACCGGGGTCACTGGGACTTAACATGGGTCAGCTTAAATGAAAGGAAGAGCAGCTCCCAAGGGGACACCCTTTGGGGACGTTTCTGGGCTAGACCTTCTACAGACCTACTGACCCCAGTTGTTGGTGTGGTTAAGGGAGGGTGGGGGGATTCTCTACTCCCTTCTTCCCTAACAAACAGAGTCAGGGGAACCACCCATTCACTCAATGGGAGCAGCCTCTACAATACCCCTGTGGGCTGTGGGCCAATGGCTATGGACTGTGATGGACAATAAGGAGCTTGGCTCCAGGGAAACTTGTTGACACCATCCAAAGCATGTGGACAATGAGTGCCAGACCTCAGGCCTGGAGAGTAGGTGCTGGGCCTCTGCACTGGCCAGAGAACTGGGTTTTAGCTCTCAGAAGAGCCAGATAGGTAATTGACAGCTCAAGACCCAGGAAGGCTCTTCTGGTAGCTGCTTCCAGCCAGATGGCTCTGGGCAGGGGTTGAGGGGTAGGACTCAGCTTTTCCCGGGAGTTTTAGGGCCCTGTGCTGACAGCTCATCACTAGTCACTTGCCAATTCCCCGGAAGAACTGTGTCAGCAGGTGGGGTTCGTGCCAGAGTCCGAAGCAAGCGAGCAGCAGAAGCAATGGGGCTTAGGGAGGTAGGAGCCTCCCAGGCCAGGCCACGACACACCTGGGAGACAGGTAAGAGGGAGGAAAGAGAGCAGCAGTGGCTGAAAGGTGGAAGAAGGTAATGGGGGCATGGGGGGGTGACATGAGGCAAGGGTAGGGAAGGAGGGGACTAGGAGGAAGTAATGATGGGGGAGCATGTAGACAGACTGGACAGGAAGACAGTGGGGGCGAGGAGCTCCAGGAATTGTAGACTTTGGGTCAGAGTCATGTTTTTTCTTTTTTTATCCTCACCCGAGGACATTTTTTTTTTTTTTTTTTAAATCCTCACCCAAGGATATTTTTCCATTTTTTGTACAGATAGAGTGGGAGGGAGAGAGAGGAAGAGAGAGAGAGAGAGAGAGAGAGAAACATTGATGTGAAAGGGACACATCGAGTGGCTGCCACCCTCACGACCAACCAGGGCCGGGGACAAACTGCAACCGAGGTACGTGCCCTTAGCGGGAACCGAACCCGGGTCTCTCCAGACCGCAGGCCGATGCTCTAACCGCTGAGCCAAACCGGCCAGGGCTCGAGGACATTTTTTGATATTTTGTTCCGATAGAGTGGGAGGGAGAGAGAGAGAGAGAGAAACATGGATGTGAAAGGGACACATCGAGTGGTTGCCACCCACACGACCCAACTAGGGCCGGGGACAAACTACAACCGAGGTACGTGCCCTTAGCGGGAACCGAACCCGGGTCTCTACAGACCACAGGCCGACGCTCTAACCGCTGAGCCAAACCGACCAGGGCAAGAGTCATGTTGACAGGGGACATGGGAGAAAACGGAGACAAGAGGGCAAGTGCGAGGGCACAAAGAAGTGTGAGGGTAAGCACATGGAGACAGGAGCCCTCAGCAGCCAGCCCCTGTCGCCTCTGCCCGCCAGCAGCTGTGTGGATGGAGGGGCAGGGTGAACAGAACATGCACAGCTTCAGAATACCCACTACACTGCCTCCCTCTACCCCGACTCCAGCCTCCCACCCCAATTAGTCCAGACAAACCACTCCTCTTTCTGGTGTCTTCTTAACTCCCTAATATTTCTGATGTTTATGGCCTGGCACACTTTGTGAAGCAGAAATCCAGACTCCTAATTTCAGACCTTGGATTTGAACCTGGCTATCTGCCTCTCAATGGAACTGCCTTTTTGACCTCATCCAAGAGTCACCCACTGCTCTCAGCAGCATCCACTTGGGAGGCTCAGTGGCTCAGGGTCTCTGGAGTTGAGGATGCTAAGCATCAGGACCTCTCAACTGGGATAGAAGCTTCTAGGGGTTAGTGGAGGCTCAGGAGAAGTGAGCGCAAGCCTGAAAGGGGCTAGATAGGGTTCCTCCCACCCCATGATGAAAACATGGAGGCTGAGGCCTCATCCAAAGAGACCCCCTAGAGGGACCCACTTACCCTAGACAGGCACCGGAGGCCAGCAACTGGAAAACACCCGCTCATTGTTGGTACATCACCCTGAGCACCACGCGTAGGAACTTTGTTGGTCTCTAGTTGTTGTCCAGAGCTCCTGACAACCACAGAAGGTTCGTATGAGGGAGCCCAGTCAGCTGGCTTTGTTTGCACCACAAATGCTACCAGCTCTTATCCCCTTTGCTGAGCCCCAGGAACTACTCCCAGGAGCTCAGTAAAAACGACCCCTCAGATGGGATGAGGACTTAGAGACCTTAAACTCATTCTAGTTATCCTCTTAGCAATTCACTACTTTGCTGGAGAGGCTATAGACTGTGTAATTGGAGACTCAGAGAGGTTAATCAACTTGCTCAAAGGGCACCCACTGTAAATAGCAGAGACAGATCTCAAAACTAGATCTCTGAGTCTGAGACCAGTGCTTTTCCCTCCAGTATGATCATTGCCCTTTCTGTGCACATACAACGTAGTTTATAAATTACCTTTACTCATATTCTCTCACTGCTCACCACACAGTATCATGAATTCAGCAGACGAGAAGGGCTCAGAGAGGTTAAATGACTTGACTGAGACTATGCTGTTTCCATGGGGCGGAACCTGGAGCATGAGCACCTAGCCACAGCCTTGCCTGCTGTCTATCCTTACAAGGGTAGGGGAAGATGACCGGGCTCATTGTACCGCAGCTGGGGGATCCAGACCCCTTGGCACCACAGATGATCTGGGACTGGAGAGTCAGACTGAAATTCCTGCTGGACTTTGCTATGTGGCTTTGGGGACAGAGTTTGACTTTGTGGGGCCTCCACCAATGCAGCTACAAAGGGCACCACCTACAGCTCCCACTGCCCCCCTCCACCCTGGGGTTGTATAAAGAGACCAGAGACAGCTGGGACAGATCTGGAAAGACATTGAGAGCCAGGAAACTAGACAAGAAAAGGAGCAAAGGTCTGGCTGGCTGCTGCCCTCTGGTGGTGACAATGGGTGACACTGGAAACACTTCTGATTTTGTCAAGGTGACACTCTTCCCCAGACCATCCCAGGATAGCAGGGATAAGCTACTGCCCCCAAGAGAGACTGGGACATGCTAGGAGTAGGGCACAGGTGTGTGGGGGGCTCTATCACCTTCCATCTTGAGGTACCCCAGCCCTGTCCACTTTGACTACACATGCATTAAACCCTTTTGGTCAGGATGGGATGTGGGTCTCAGCTTTTTAATCTAGGAATTAGGAGAGGTGGTTAAAGCTAAATGGGGCAGTGGGCAAAAGAGGAAGGGGTTGGGCGAGGAGGCAAGGTCAAGGAGATGATGGGAGAGAGTGAGGGAAGGATGGGGACAAGGAAATGGCAGGTTTTGGAGGATGAGAGAACAGAACTGTCCCTAGGCCTTATCTGGAGAGAGTTCCAGCCTTCCAGAATCCTGGCTGATAACACATGTCCTGTCTGTGGCCAGGAGAAAGGTCAGGGGTTGTCACTACCACTCTAAAAGCAAACAGGGACATACACGTGTTGGAACATGCCACACACGTGAGGAATCAAGGGATTAGATATAAAAGGATTCAGAGGGTCTCCAGAAGCCACCTAGAAACCAACTTTTATCTCATAGAAAAGGATCTCCTTATTTTGTTTCTTTTTCTAATTTGGTGGAATATTCTACTGATTTCTAATCATCCTCAAAACTTCTCATTTCTCATAGCAAAAGACAGTTACTTTTTTTCATATACTAATAACAGTATTTAGGGAAACTGGTTAAAAATTTATTATTTGGTAAGTTGTCCTTGTTTCTTTTAATCCCCATGGCAGAAAACCAGGCATCCTGGGTTTCTTCCCCTGGAAACGGAGAACCATGCTGTGATACCCCTCCCCTAGGCAGGTCCCACAGTATTCAGAGGGACCCTGGGCCCCACTGAAATCTGCCTCCCGTGATGTTCAGACAAGTTACTCACCTCCGGCAGTTTTGTCCTGAATGGTCAAACCATTTTGTGTCATCTGAAAGAGTTCCTCAAAAAAAGGGGGGCAGGATCTCTGAGTTTTTCTAACAGGCTAGAGCAGAGAGTGGAGAAAAGGATTCCTTTGGGGTCAGAGTCCATAACTAGTCCCAGCTAAAAGCAGTGCCTGCCTCCCCCACTCCACACCAGATCTCCAGATCCCTCCCAGCTTCCCCCACTCTTCACACAAATGCTCTTAGATGACATCTGTGGGAATGGGTGGGAGGGTCTCCGGGATGGGGGAGGGAAATAGGCCCCCCTTGGGCATGGCCTCTAAATTTGAAATGCCCCTCTTAATGAATGGATGGAGCCCATAGGACAGTTTGGGGACAGTTTACCACAGGAAATGTGCAGGATGGGTATGGGGGAGGGCGAGGACCCCAGAGATACCACAGTAACAAAACCAGGTCTCCTTGTGTCATCACTAGAAATCGGATTCAGCCACTAAGTTGGAATTCTTTTCCTCCCCCAGACAGCCCTCCCAACCGCACCACTGCCAGCAGCAAATAGGAAAAACAGGGGCCAAAAGAGGTCAAGCTAACATCCCAGGGCCACAGTGTTATCAGATCAGGATTAGAACTCAGGGGTCTCTGGTGCGTCTTGGGAAAATTGCAGCCAGAGCTTCCGTTATTGCCCCGAAGACCCCCTTGAGTTTGAGCTTCCTGTCCTGACTAGCTGGAGGTGATGACCTAGAGCCCTGGTGCCAGTGAGGAAGCTGGGACCTGGAGTCACCTCTGGGCTTGCCCTGCTGGGAGGGGATCCTCACTGGGCAGGGAGGTGGCAGCTGCCGGGTGGAATGGGGGGAGAGATATTTTTAGAGGTGGCTGGAAGGCAGGCAGGCAGGCACTCTGGCACACTCCCAGCTGGCGGGCTTTTCGCTCCAATGCGGGGCAGGGGGTGCGCAGCTCAGGGAGCGGAGGGGACTACTGGGTAGCGGGGAGCAAGGGCACCGATTCTTTCGCTTTGACGGAGCCGGGGATGGAGAATACACCCGGGCACCACGTTCCTGGGGCAGGAACGGGGAACTCATCCCTCTGCTTCAGGGACTCCCCCACTGACACACGCGTGCAGGATCGCCCTCAAACTCCACACAGCCCCCACTCCACACTCGGACCCAAGCCCTCCCCTACCTCAGGGAGCCAGGACTCACGTGGGGAGCGGCGGCGGCCGAAGTCTGTCCCGGCTGAGTTTGAAGTGTCAGGAGTGGAGAGAGGGGCTAGCCGAGGTATGTGGACGCAGGATGGAGCCGGGGTGCTTACGGGAATTGGAGGAGACGCGGTCTTATCCACCCCCGGATTTCTGAGCTCCGGCTCACGAGTCCCTCCGGTCCGGAGGGGCCATGGACGATGTGCGTTTGGCCCGTTCCTTCCACCCGCCCTCCATCTCCATCCTCAGCCCCCGGGCTGCCGCGCGTCCCCTTTAAATGCCCGGGAGCCGGAGCCCGAGCCGCCGCTGGCGCTGCGGCTGCCGCAGCACCCTGGCCCACCGCAGTCCCCGCACGTCACAAGCGACGGTCCAATCACAGCGGCGCCGGCGCACATCAAAGGGGCGGGCCACGCCTCCCGGCGGCTCCCGAGGCTCCGCGAGCGCCAGAGGAGGTGGGATTGGGTGTCGCGGAGAAGGGAAGGAGGTGGAGAGCGAGCTTAGCTCTTTGGAGGAACGTGGGTGAGGGCACCCTCATTGGAGTGGATGCGGGGTTCTGCCTAAGTCCCCGCCCACATTCCCCGGAGTGCCAGGGCTGTGAACTTTCAACTGCCGCTTCCAGGGCTCGGATGCCTGAGGTGTGCAGAAATGCACCCCGACATCCAGCTCTCATTCGGTTCTTCGCCCCTAAGCCCAGTGAGAGGCACCGGTTGACCAAGCTAAGGGAAAGCAGTTCCACTGTCCCGCTCCCACGAGCGTTTAGCTGGGTGCCCTCTGCCCAGCAGGCGGAGTCACAGCGCCCCATTCTGGCCTTTGGGACCCTTCCCAGGTTACAGGGTACAGGGGATTGCCAGGAAAGACTCCCACTCCCCTACCCTGTAAACACTGAGTTGAGGACCAAACAATTTGCCCCTTTGCGAGTGCTGTTGTTAACTAAAATACGCACCTACTCTGCCGCTTCTTAAGTGTCTGTTCCCAGCCACGTTCCCTCATCCCCCTTCTGCCCTCCCAGCCTGGTGGTGAGAAGGAGAGGAGATTCTGTTTCCAGAGGAAAGAGGTGATGCTTATATTTACTGAGAACGTACTACGAACGGGACACTGCACTTGGCCGCTGCACTCGTGGCTGAATGTTCACAACACTCAGGAGAAACTTTTGCCTGAGTTGAAGCCCACGCACACCTGACTCATGGGATCACAAGGGGGCCGCGTGAGTGGGGAGAATGTAGGTGGCCCCAAGCCTGGTCCTACCTTCAGTCTTCCCTAAGTCTCCCCTGCTCCAGTCCTTGAAGACAGCCAGCAAACGTAAAGGCCCTGAGTGATCTGAGAGCCGATGGGGCTGGAGAGCAGAGGAAGTGAGGGTCAGCATGGAATTACCCTAATCTCTGTGCCAGGTCTGGGGATACAGGCACGAACAGGGCACATGTGTGTCATGTTTCTGTTACCAGAAAGGATCTTGGCCCTGAGCAGGTCTGCCTAGTTCTTGACTTCGTGCAGGAAAAATTTCACAACACTAATCCAGGTGAATTTGAGAGGACTTTTATTAAAAGCTGGGGACAGTGGAACAAGGAAGGGCTGGGGAGATGAGCTTAGACGGGTCTGCTTTGGCTCACTAAGAAGTCAGAGAAAAGAGGGCCTTGGGGACAGGTCCAGGGGGTTTGTCTGGAATGAACTGTCACTGCCCCTTGCTGCCCTTTTTGCAAGCCTCATGGGGTCCTTCAGGGTTTAGGAGATGCATTCCTGGGGCATGCTCCTGGGAGGGACAGTGCTCTCTGGGGCTTCTTTTTGAGAGGTTATAAAGGTTGGGCATTTAGGAGAGGTCTTAGGAGAGGAGCTCAACAGATTATTCATTGGCTTTATGCTGATATACCCAAATGAGGTTTATTTTCTTAACTTCATCTGTCCTTGGGTGTGGTTGATAAGATGACACTAATTGGATTTCTGCTATCTGTCTCCCTGAGCAGGGTTATTTAAGCTATTTACCTTCTGTTTGGGGAGAAGTGCATACCATTTACTCTTAAGTGTCCTTGGTTTAGGGAAGATAGGATTTACTAGATGGCTGCAAACTGCTGTTTAACTATCCTTGTTTCCCTATTCCGCGTGTCGTGACTCACTAGTCTGTCTCATTTCCACATATACAAAGGGAAACAAATACTTTAAAGCTGCCAACCTTAGAGACAAAGCTGCTGTCTGAGGAATGGCTCAGCGGTTAGAGCATCAGCCTGCGGACCAGAGTCCTGGGTTCAATTCTGGTCAAGGGCATGTACCTCGGTTGCAGTTCGTTCCCGTCCCCAGCCTGGGTTGGGGTTGTGCGGGAGGCAGTGAGTTGATGTGTTTCTCTTGCATTGATATTTCTCTCTCTTTCTCTCTCCCTCCCTCTACTCTATCTGAGGATAAAATGGAAAAATGTCCTCCGGTGAGGATTAAAATAAAAGCTGCCAACCTGATCCTTAAGAGCCTTGACAGTAATTCCCAGTGCCCCAACTCCTGAAACTGGCTTGCTGTTTCACTTCATCTCAGCCCTTTTTACTCCTCACCCTTTCTTCCAGCTCCACAATACATCCTGCTCTTTCCTTGGAACCTCCTCAGAATATGCCTGTTTCGTGTGCTGGTCTAGCTCAGCCTCAGCATCATTCTTGCCCTGTTATGCATCCCAGAGCTCCTTTCAGTACACTGATCATGCACTAAAACACACAGTAAGTGCTGTGAATATTTCCCCATGTATCAGTTCACGTAACCCTCACCATCCTATGACCCGGGTGTACAGCTCATTTTATTGTTGAGAAATCAAAGCACAGAAAGTTGAGCTGGCCCAAGTTCATCTACCTGGTGAATGGTAGGGCGGGGTTTCCAATCTGGTGCCTTAACTGTTCCTACACCATCCCTCACATTTGGTGTTTGCTACCCCTACTCACCTGTAAGCAGCATGAGGGTGGAGATCTTGTTTGTTTAAGTTTATTTTTTTTATCCTCACCCCAGGACATTTTCCCATTTTTTGTTCAGAGTGGGAGGGAGAGAGAAGAAGAGAGAGAGAGAAACATCGACGTGAACGGGACACATCAAGTGGCTGCCACCTGCACGACCAACCAGGGCTGGGGACAAACTGCAACCGAGGTACATGCCCCTAGTGAGAACTGAACCCGGGTCTCTCTGGACCACAGGCCGACGCTCTAACCGCTGAGCCAAACTGGCCAGGGCTCTTGTTTGTTTATTAATGTCCCCCTAGTCCCTAGCATATAGACTCTGTACACAGTAGGTCTTGGATATTTGTTATTGAATAAAAAATCACTCTGTGCCCAGCCCGTGTGGCTTACTGGTTGAGCATCAACCCATGCACTAAGAGGTCGCCGTTCGATTCCTGGTCAGGGCACATGCCCAGGTTGTGGGCCCGATCCCCAGTGGGGGCATGCAGGAGGGGGCCAATTGATGTTCTCTCTCATTGATGTTTCTATCTCTCTCTCCCTCTCCCTTCCTCTCTCTCTAAAATCAATAAAGAAAATATATTTTAAAAAATCACCCTGGTCGGTGTGTCTCAGTGGTTAGAGCATCAACCAGAGCACCCAAGGGTCACAGGTTCGATTCTGGTCAAGGGCATGTACCTGGATTGCAGGTTCGACCCCCAGCCTCCATTAGGGATGCATGCAAGAGGCAACCAAGTCTCTCTCACATCTGATGTTTCTCTCTCTCTCTTTCCTTCCTTCCCTTTCTCTTTAAAAATCAATGGAAAAAATCTCCTAGGGTGAAGATTAAAAAAAAGTCTCTGCTGCATTCCATTTGCATTTCCTCATTCCATACTAATGAGTCACTTCAGTATTACCCCCATTTTACAACAGGAAAATTGAGACTCAGAGAGATCAAATGATTTGCTCGGGGTCACACACCCCTGGCACGAGATTCAAATGTTGACTCGTTTGATGCAATTAACAGCCTTTCCCACCTTGTTTCTAAATTCACTGATGGGGTTGGGGAAGGGATGGGCTGATAACTTTGTTTTGCCTCCTATCCTGAGTTCTTACTGCTCAACTCTGCCTTCCAGTGATGGGACTACCGAAGTTCTCAGGAACTGTGGGTCAAGAGCCTTTGTGGAGGAAATATAGAAACTCCTGTTTCTTCCTAAACTAAACTTCTCAGGACACACTCCTATCTGTCTTTAAACTTCCCCCTTTCATTGTGCCAGTGAGTAAGTTGGATGATTAGCCATGTGCCTAAAGATAGGGATAGAGCCCGGCCAGTGTGGCTCAGTGGTTGAGCCTCGACCAAGAGGTCGCCGGTTTGATTCCCAGTCAGGACACATGCTCATGTGTGGGCCCGCTCCCCAGTGGGGGGCATGCAGCAGGCAGCCAATCGATGTTCTCTCTCATCGATGTTTCTATCTCTCTCTCTCTCTAAAAATCAAAAAAGAGGGGTCAGAAATGGAATGAGGATCCTACCTCCCACCCACATCCCAGCTCCCCCAGATTGAGGCCTGAGCTTCCTCTGGTGTGGGGTTCACTTTAGGGCTCAGGTCAGTCGTTGTGTCAGAGAACTAGTTCACCCAGCTGGTGAGAGGGAGTCATCGTGAGGCGACAGATATAGAGGTCCCTGGCGAACCCTGACTCAGACAGCCCGGAATGGAGCCCTCCAGCTGGTCCTCACAGAGGGTGTGACTCTTGCCCAAGGTTTGGGTGTTAGAGTCAGGGAGGCCAGAAATCTAGAACGTGGCCTCCCGCTCTCCAATCAGCCTGGGGGAGCGGAGGGGCAAGGGTGAGGGAAGGGCAGATTTGCCCAAGTCTGTTCACCTGAGGAAGGACCAACTGGGTGCCAGGTACATAATCCCTGCAGCAATCCCAGCAAGAGGGGTTTTAGTATTGCTGTTTTTACAAATAAGAAAGCAGAAGCTTGGGGACATTAAGAAAGCACCTTGCCCAAGCATGCTGTGTAGCAAGTGGTGGTCAGCACAGATGTTGATGTCTCCACTTCTCTGTCTGCAGAAGACACAGGGCCTTCAGTGATCTGGTGGCTGACGTGGGTAGACTTAGTGGGAAAGACCACCCGGGTGTACCTGTTTCGGCAGTTCTATAAGATCTGCTGTGGGATGCTCTGAGTCTACGGCATTGTGCTGGGGTAAGGGAACAAGGCTGAACAAATCCCTTTCCAGGTCTCTTGTCTCCGCCCCAGACTACAGTCTCTAACACTGGAGCACCTCCTGTGTGCCAAGCAGTGTTCTAAAAGGCTCAGCTCTCTTCATTCTCATGTTAATCCTGTGACAGATCAGTTTTCCCATTTTACAGATGAGAATAATGAGGCACAAAGTGGTAACATGATTTGTCCAAGACCACAGGGCTAGGAAGTTGCAG